TTTCAGAATGAGTACCGATAAGTGCTACAAATGTGGTAAATCAGGACATTTTGCTCGCGAATGCAGGAATCGGAGCAGTGGAGGGCGTGAAGGCCGTTCCCGAAATAGTGCCGGTAAGTTGGATTAATTTGACTGAAACTGAATTGATTTCAATTGCTCAATTAAGACTTCAGTAATCTTGGCAAATTATCAACATCTGATTAAACACTTCCTCCACCTTCCTCCCTCTCTCTCTTCATTCAGAGAGAATGTTACAGCAAAACCGGTATGGACATTTTGCCCGGGAATGCAGAGTTGAAATTGATCGGTGCTATAAATGCAATGAATTAGGCCACATTGCCAAAGAATGTGGCAAAGACATTGATAGTGGTAAGTTACACAAACCTAACTCTTAATTAATATTAGGCACCTTTTTATTTTATTTTTTTCCTCTATCAGAAGAATAGTTATTAATCACTATAGCAGATCATACTAAAGATGTTTCAGTTTAAATATTTATTTTTTGTTTAAAGGACCGGTACCTATTAGTTCCCTTGTCTGGGAAACACATTTTTGAAAGGTAATGGTGTCAGATTTGTGAATTTAAGCTGATCACTTCTGTTAACCTGCTGCTGTTGGAAGGTGTTCGCCTGTTGAAAATTTCATAAGCTTTCACAGTTCCATTCATTTATTTCCACCTGTGGAGTTTTTTTTTTTTTCTTTTTGTAATTGGTTATGTTGGGAAATTATTCCTTTTTTATAATTTATATATGACATGACTTATTTAGAAATTTAGTATTTTTTCTTTTCTTTTTCTTTTTTCTTTTTTTTTTTTTCTTTTTTCTTTTTTTTTTTTTTCTAAGATTTCACATTTTTATTTTTCTGCTTTTTGTTTTTTGTTTCTTTTTTTTGTTTGTTTTTTTTTTTTTTTTTTTTTGTTTTTTTTTTTTTTTTTTTGCTTTTAGTTTTATTTCCATATTTTCAATTATAGTGCTAGCTTAATAAGACAAGACACTTCATAAACCTTTGCAGTCTTCATTTCTACAGATGTTTCAATATTGGGCATTAAACAATTGAATATTAGTTCTAAGTCTAGGTTAATGAGAAATATCTGCAATATTGAGACATTTCTTAAAATATAAAGAAAACCTAGGATTTGTTTTAGACAGTGTTTTTCAAGCCAGCAACACTTGTGTATACCAATTTTTATTCTGAAATATGCCCTCCTGTAGAAGCTGAGAGCTGGACATTTTCATGTTTTGTGCAGTGGCTTGCCTTAAATAGCCTGATGTTGTTGTTTATCAACCTGTTACTCAGCTTATCTTTTTCTTTTGCACAGAAAAGCCACTATCACGTGGCACGGAAGAAACTGGCAACAGTAAGACTGTGTCAAGTAGGTGCACCTATCAAACTACATAGAATTTGGCATAAATAACCTTGTTCCATCTCATTAATTCTAACAGCAGTGTTCTCCCTTTCAAAGTTTCACCACCTTTAAGCATGACTAATTCATAATTGACTTCTTGAATTTAATAACTTTAAGATATTTCAATAGATACAAGCCAAAAATGTATTAATCTTTTTTTTTTTTTTTTTTAAATTTTCATAAATACTTACATACATAATTATAGGTTTCTGCTTAAATGAAGTCTATTCCATTTTCTTCCCTGCTAAAAATTCACATTGGATTTGTAAAATTTAATGTCGATTACCTATTTTAACATAGGAATAGGATGAATGCTGTATATTAAGGGTTTGTACTTTTCCACTCTCTATAGTATCACCAAACTTAGTGAATGTAATTTTCATAAATTTTAATTGTAGGTGTAACTTTACAAACTAAATCTATTAGCCTGACTTATTGGGAATATTGTCTCTTCTGAAGAGATAACATTTCATTCAGTTGAGATAGCTTCCACCCCTCCCCAAATAAAATTGGAGAACACTTCTGTATCCAGTGCTTGTTTACTTCACTCAACCTCTGCCCTTTTCTGCTCTGCTTCTTTCTCTATAAGCATAATCACTTTCCAGCACCTGTAAAAACTAATTTTTTATTTTTTTTTATTTTTATTTTTTTTTATTTTTTTTTTTTTTTTTTTTTTTAAATTGATATATTTAAAGAATGTGGTGGTGGGGCTTAGTTTCATTGTATGTTTGGGTTTGGTGGGTGTGACTTGAAATTTGCTTGACTAAAACTTAGTGCTTGCTTATATTTTTTTTTTGTCTTCTCCCTGCTGAAAAATCATTTGCTGTGCATTTATTTTCAAGATTCTACTTGTAGTTGAATTTTCATTTCATATGATAGCTCCTTTTTCCTTCAGTTTGTAGTTCACCATACATGCTTGCATCTTATATTGTGAAATAGCTCGGTTTTTATCAGGCGAAGTTGATGTTCCACCTCCCAAAATTAACTGGTCAACTAGAATGGATCAGCTCAATTTTATTTCCTTTCAAATGCAAGCTTATTTAGAATAGGGAGGTTATGTGCAGCTTTTGGATTTTTTTTGCTTGGTGTTATGTAATAAATCTGGATATAGGGTTTTAAAAAAAAAAAAGAAAAAAGCCTTTTTCCTTTTTAGATTTGATGGTAAATTTTTGTATCCCTCCCCTTCCATGCCCACTCTTCTGGTTATCTTTATCCTTGCATCCACATTGAGTATTCACAAATGTGATAGCTATTTAAAAACATGTTTAAATTCTTTCAAGTCAACACAAATACTCAGATTGCATTTTTTCAGTTTGATCAAACACTTAAAATGCTTCATTTTGGTGGTTTGCATGTCTTGTCATTTTGTATGCATGCATGATGCTTTTGATTGTATGTACAGAGAAGCCCAATGAAAGCATTTTTTTACCATCAGCAATTACTGCAATATTTGTATATCTCATGTTCTAATATTGTGCATTGTGAAATTCTTAAAATCACTACAGCATGAATTGTACATATGAATTCATGATAGTGTAATGGCATGAGTTGGGTTTATATAAAATACCTCAGAAGGCGGCATGAAGCCAATTTGCCTTGCACTGGCCCAGATATACTGAATGCATTGTCATTGGCCTGTTAATGTTGGAGTAGCCATCAAGAATACCTGCTTAAACAGTAGCGGCAAAAGACTTAATACTCTAAACTTTTTAACAGGGGCCAAAAAATTAGATTCCCTCCCCCTCCAAAAAAATCCTTTTTTTTTTTTTTTTTTTAAATGTATTTAAGATTTCTGTATTTGGCAATTGAAAACCCCTGTCTGCAACCATTCAGTTTTTTTTTTTTTTTTTTTTCTAATATTAAATGAGTACTAAAACTAGATAGATGCATACTTTCAAATTCTGGCAAAGCACTCTTGTAAGGATGTTAGTTTGATACTGTAAAGCTAAACTTGTAAAAAAAAAAAAAAATCAATCCAAGAATTTGTCAAATTATGAAAGTAGATTCTATTATCATTTAAAAGATATTAAAAACTGAAAATTTGTCAATTACAGCTGTTAACAGGGCTTGAATTTATTTGGTCACTTAATGCGTAAGCATTTTTCCTATATCAACAGAAAAGTCAGGTTTGTTAGTGGAGTGGTAAACTTTTCATTTTTTTTTAAATTTAGGTTTTAATTTTATTTACATATTAAAACATATCCAATCCCTTGCTTCAGTCATTAAATCAGTTTTGCTTTCTTTATTCAATTTAGATAGATTAGTTTAATTAATAGTTATTTGTTGTAGCATCAATAATGCTCTGGTCATGTAAATATTTCAGATTGAAGTTTTAAAATTCTGTTGTGGACATATAGATGTCTTATGAAATTTGTTTTGCTTGCTGTTGATGTATGTTTTCAAGACACTGAAATATAGGTATTTTCTTTTATAAATTATCACTGTGCTATTTATGAACCTGTGTAGACATGTAGTAGCATAAATACCTGTTTTATGAAGTCTTCATAGTGTTTATCTTAGTCTGTACTGTAGAGTATCCAGTCAAAATGGCAGCACTATGAGAAATCAGTTAGCATCTTTACACCAATTTCCAGTAAATGACAATTTCCTAAAATGAGCTAGCACATCCAGGAAATGATAGTATAGCAATGCAGCAGTAAGTGTTAAATAAAAGTTAGTTGTGCAACTATGGTAATCCCCCTTACCATCACTAGTTTACAAATTCAATGATGTTCAAAATGCTTTGTTACATTTACATTTTTTTTTTTTTTTTTTTTATTTAAAAAAAAAAAAAAGCATTGCTGGAGTTGGTATTTAACTTTTTACATACTATCATTAAACATCACTTGGATTTTTTTTCTGCTAAATTTCTACTTTATGCTGAATCAAGTTTTTAATGGATCTTAAATTTTAATTTTCTAACACATCACAATTTTCTAATCTGTAATATTGCTGTATTTTTGCATGCATTCTCCCCCACACATGATACATTAAAAAATACTTTCCTGTCAGATTTAAGAAAAAGTTGTAAAAGTTAACTATTTTTGTATAAGGTACAAGCTTTTAAAGTCGAAAAATTGAACAATGTTACCGTAAAGTAATTGAACCATAATGAAAACTGCAAAGTCTTGGTAGGTTTATTTTATGATTTCATAGGTTATGATGTGCAATATTTTGTATAGTACCATAAACAAGTTTTTTGAGTGTTCACAACTTTGTGACAAGAGCAGCTTGAATTTTTCAACTGAGTGCCAAGCCCTTTCAGCTGGATATGTCTACCTGCATCTAACAGTTTTCGCCTCTTATATGAACATTTTAATCAAATCTACTTGCAAGACACTTTGCATTCAAAACTGGAATCTATATTTAGTTGGTAGGAAAGAATCTTTTCAAATATATACACACACACACACACACACACACTCCTTAAAAACAATTTCTAGTTATGGAAGTGGCTAACAAATGAGCATTTTGCTGTTGTACTTTAACTAGATAAATTTGAATTACACTATTCAGGCAGATATGCATTCCTGCATGCCTTTAAAAAAAAACAATTTTTGGCCCAGATGCTACTTAAAAAAAAATTATTTTTTAAACATTAATTTATACTTCTAAGTTATTTATGCTGGCCAATTATAAACAAAACCATGTGCATGGGAACAAAGATTTAAATTTTGAGTTTCCTTTTGGATTAATGCAAAATTTGGGAATTATCAAGTGCTTCTGAAATATTGAAAAGTTGTCATTATCTAACCTGGGGTTTTAAGCCAAAAGCAATATTTGAGTTTTTATTTTATTTATTTTTTTTTTTTTTTTTTTTTTTTTGCGAGTTCAGTGTTAGCAGATTAAATCTTGACTATAATTAATATGGCTGGCTTTCAATATAACTACTGCATGTATAATCTGATAAAAGTAGATTAACATTGATTTGATTAGAAAATGAAATAAAAATTTTGACAAATTTTAAAATATGATAACTAGGTGTGAAAGCATTTGTAGTAAAGGTTTTTACAGTTGATTAAAATAACTTAAGGTGCATTATTTTCATAATTTCCTACACTGGAAACTATTTGAATTCACATGCAAACTCTTTTATTTTTATTGTGGTACAAATATTCTTCATGAAATATATAAAATAACAATTGTAAATCTCATTGAATGGTGGGTGGTATTGCATGACTTTATATTATGTTCTGCATGCTTCATATCACTTTAAAATATGCCTCTAACATAGTACTAACATGCATGTAAATTAGATACATTGCTCAGAGCTAACAAAGTGAGCATAAGTTTGTTATTGTGTAATGGTTTTTAATTTTAATTTATGCCTTAAAATTGTTTACATGTCTTTAAGTGGGAAACTTGACATAGCTTTTATTTTTATAACTTTTCTTTAGGTGCATGCTACAATTGCGGTAAAACGGGCCATATTCAGCGTGAATGTCCAGAAGCAAGCTTAAAGTCTTGTTATCGTTGTGGCGAAACAGGACATATAGCCAGAGAATGTCCTGACGACCGCAGAGATGACCGCAAGTGTTATAATTGTGGTGAAACTGGCCACATTTCTAGAGATTGCCCTGAGAGTGGCAAAAACTGTTACAGGTTAGTTTCTATGCATTTCTCTTTAACAACTTTAGACTTGGTGAAACAAGCTGTATATCTTAAGATAAAACCTAAGTTTTAAAAAAAAAATTTTAAATTTTACTTAAAATAGCTTTACATTAAAATTTGATTAAATTTTGGATTATTTAAAGTGAAAAATTATTTTTTTACTATAAAGTGTAGTGTGTAAAATGATCATTGAGTATATTATTGTTCATAATGCATATACTTGATTGAAATTATATTTTGTTGCTTTTCTTTTAAGATGTGGTGAACCTGACCATCTGGCTCGAGACTGTCCAACATCAGCCAGTACAGCTCAATGCTATAACTGCAAAGGAGTTGGTCACTTTGCCCGGGATTGTAACCAGGAGGCATAAGCTGCCATTGCTACTACTCATGAGGCACTTTCTGCCCCATCAGACCACAAAACATTTGTTCCAGATGTGGTCTTTTACCAACAGTGCAGCAACAGACACCCACCTACCCAGCCTCTGCCATGTGTAGATGGTGGATGTTAGACAGCAATGACTTCAATTTCAAAGCTTTGCCTAGACTATTTTAAAAATACAAAAATAAAACACTTGGCATTTTCTGAATGTGCCAAATGGCTTGCTGCACTCATGGAAAAAATTCGTTTAAATATCATTGTTAGTTGATTTGTTTCATTGTACCAGTAGAGATGGGAGATGGGTGTTTTTTTTTTTTTTTTTTTTTTTCTTTCTTTTTTTTTTTTTCTTTTAATTTTGTTTTTGTTTTTTCGTCTTTTCTTTTTTCTTTTAAAGCCTTAACTTTCTCTTTATACCCATTTGATAATGGATTACAGAACTGATTGGGTGATGTATTGGAAATATTTTAAACTTCTCATTTTTTTTTTTTTTTTTTTTTCTTTAAGAAAAATGAAAACATTGGTTAGAAATTTATCAAATCATTTAAATCAGTACATAATACACTTAATTGAATAGGAGGGTGATTAAAGACCAGTTATCAATTTTGACACTCATTCATTGTTTATGGAAATATTTTAGTCTTACTTATAAACAGTCTGTATTAAATTTAGTGCTAATGATGTGGGTGTGGCCATTTGAGCTTATACAGTAATTTATTTATTCACTGTGGGTCCTATATGAGTCTTTTCTTTCTCTGTGCCTTCTTATAATTTCACCTAAATTTTCTCAATTTGTGAATGAAGTTCCATGGGACCATTGGTTGAGATAACTTGAAATTCAGTTTACCTGCCAGTTTAATTTTTGAAATGTTACACACACACACACACACACACACGCACACACACACACACACACTTTGTATTTGCAGCTTTCTTGAAAAAGGTCTATTGACTTTTCCATCCTTTCAACTTTTAACAGCTGTACCTCTCTTCATATTTTCACTGGCTACCATTGGCCTAATTGGATTAGCTTTTATTTTAAGTTAATCTCTATTGGTAGCAGTAGGGTAAGAATCATGTATTTTTAGAAAATACTTTGAAGTAAGCCATAGGTTAAGTTTTTTTTTCTCTTTCTTTCTCTCTCTCTCTCTCCCCCCTTCACCTCTTACACCCTGTCCCACTCTGTATTTGAGCTTATAAGTTTGGACTGATTCTACTTATTTGTTATGCAGGGATCTCTGCTAACTGCCCACCTTTTTGTTTTAAAGGTTTCTTGTACATCACTCAGATCAACCAATCTAAAAATTACAGGATTTATGAACATCTGTTCAAAACCTCTAAAATATACTTTTGATTCTTCACCTTCACTCCATCTCTATATTTTCTCAAAATTACTCAAATGAGGGTTGTTCTTTTTCTGAAATATTCAACTATAGCCTCTTGATTTACTAGAAATTTTATGCTGTCAAAGAAAAAAAAAAATTCTGTCTTAATTTTGAAAGAATTCTCTTGTGAGGTGGCTTCATCTATTCCATCATTGGGAGGGGACAAATATTCTGTCCAGTTGATACTTGCATATATACCTTGCACATCTGCACTCTCCTGCTTAAAACTATTACTATAAGATAGCTGTATAGATTTTTTATTTTATTTTAAGTCCATGAAACATTGTGATTATTACTTTTGATCTACTGATACAGAACCCATTTTCAGTGGGTAACTAAAGATGCTTCTACTTAGATCTTGGATATCATAAAAATGAAACTTGGGTATTACTGTAGACCTGTCATTTCTCCAATTAAGATCAGTTATTTTCTTTTATGCTAATGCCACCCTATTTGCTTTCATTTTATTGTATAAATGAACCTTCATTATAATTTTTGTAATACTAGCTTGTAATGAATTTCACTCCTTTTGTTAGATAGCCAACAATTTTTACTTTAATATAAAGCTATTGTCATGAATGTGATAGCTCTTCAATCTGTGTCCCTTTGCAGCAAAAACCTTTCCTTTTCTCTGTTTTCCTCATTATTAGGCTAAATTATAGCAGCAGTAGAAATTCTCCCTCCACCTTTCTAATTAAAAAGTCTTTTTCAGATTTTTTTTTTATAAATTCACACCTAGTAATTTTTGCTTCATTGTAGAGTTTATACTGGAACCAATAAAGAACACAAAAGTATGGTTGAAAATAAATCCTTTTCACTTTTCAAGTGCCAACTTGTATGTAGTTTTGGCCCAAGCAGTTTATTCTGATCTCTGTATGACTTTGAAAAAAAAAAAAAAACCCAAAAAACAATCACACACACACACACACACACACACACAATATCTCCATTATTGTAAATTCCTCATTAGTAAAGTTTCTACCCTTCCCCATGGTCCTCTTTACGTGTGTTGGGTGGGGTGAGTACGGAGACATGAAAGGGCATTAGATTTGAGGTAACTCCTGCAGTGTTATGGCATTGGAAGGGAGAATGGTGAGTGTCAGATTCAGTCCTTTTGGGCAGTGTCAACAGCTCTATCTTAAATTCAACTTAAAACATTTCCTTCTTTTCACCTCCCCTTCTCCCTATTTCAATATTTTTTTATCTCCCCCCACCCCTCATCATAAAATGGAAAACTGTACAGAATTTTTTTAAAATTGAAAACAATGAAAAATTCATTTGAAGTTTTAGTGACAGTTGTGGAGAGAAAAATGTTTCTTGGGAGAAAAATAAGCATCTGATTCACTGTAGTGTGATCAGGGATTGTTATGCCGAGCTTAGAGGTGTGGATTGAAACCGTTTTTTCAGAACGGACACAGTAGCAGGAGAAGGAAATTTGAGATGAAAATCTGGTATTTCCGCCATAGGTGGTGGAATGTATTTTTATAGGCAGCAAGGAGAGGGGGGGTTTGTATATAAATCTGCTTTGAATATTGCCGCAGCCATCGCCGCTCTTGTTGATCAAATTTATTAAACAATACTGATATCTAGTGCCTTGTGCAATTTTCAAGATAATATCCACTAAGTAGATTACTTTCATGAAGAAGGGACAGTTAAGGAAAAACTGGGGAATGGAAATGGGCAGATCATCTCTAGAAAACAGGTCTTTTCTTTATCTAAACTAAAATAATTCTTTCTTTCATAGCTTGAATTTTTCTTTTGGCATTAAAATTTGCCATTTAAATCCGTCGACCTTCTCTGGATCACATTTTAAAATTTCCCCTAACTTTATCTTTTGTGTTGTGCATGTGTGTTGTGCTTTTTCTTTTTCCTTTATTTTTTTAAAGATATTAAAAATTTACTTTGCATACTTAAGATGGGTCTTTTTCACTTGCTTCATGTGGCCTCATGTGAAACACTTCTTGCAATTCTGGAAGAATGACCTGATTTCATAGCTGACATTACAAAAATTTTCTTCCAGACCCCGTCCCAGCCCAACCATAGTCCCCTCCCTCACTTGTCCCTTTTGTCTCCTGAAATTTGCAGAAGGCACCGGTGAATGTTTTGTAATAAATTTGAATTCCCTACAATTGTCTTGTCTTTTTTTTTTCTTCTGTAAATTGCAGAAAACTGTGACTTTAAATGTATCAACATTTTGATATTTCTGTTAAAGCAGAAGTCTTGTTGCTTTGGTGTTTGTGGAGGGGATATGGGTTATTTGCCTCATTTTATACTGTTGGAAAGTATATTTTGTGGGTAAGCTCATCTGCTCAGTGTTCATTCTCCATAAAACAACCATTCACTTTTGGACTTGATGTTAGAGCTAAAATGGCCAATAAATTTGTGTTGCAATCTCAAAATTTCAAAGCTGGCTAGGCTAAAGTTTGGTTAAAGTGTGTAATAATTAGGCTAATTTGAGATTACGTCTGTTGTAGCTATCAACACAGAAGAGACTGGCTCTGGCTAACTAGTAACAACTTGTAAGCGGGTGTTCTCATGAAACTAAAAACTGCTATTTAAAACTATCAGTCTTGCTGTCAAAAAAGAATTTAGATTGAGATTTGAGGATTTTTTAGTTCAAATAAAACTAAAATTTCAGTTGCAGAATTTCATATAAACTTTGTGATGACTTGATTCATCTAGTGGTTAGCAATTGTTTATGTAATCCTTATTCTTGGTTAGACCTGGGAGGAGTGGCAAACACCTGATGTGAAATCACTTAGAAATTTGGGATGGCATTACAAAGAGGAGTGGACAACCTTCAGATCCTTCCTTTTTGTTGTAGAAAGCACTTAATTTAACTTGCTGGGCATCATCTATTTATTACATTTGGACTGTTTTCTAATTCCATTTCATTGAGGACTTCAGTCTCCTGTTTTGACAGACTTAGTTTTTTCCTGTCCATTGGCACAAAGGAAACTAATTCAGTTTGTTTGACTACCCCAAGTCCTTGATCATTACCCTGGAGATGGTATGGGAATTGGTAATGTGAATGAGCTAACTATTCGTTCATGTCTTTGCTATTGGGTTCCTTAAGTTACATGAGTGTCTCATACCAAGAGTAACTCACCATCAGTTTCGCCCTTGTTATGTAGTGCTCTTGAAATTACTCCAATACTTGCTGTACATAAACTAATTTTGGAGAAAAGACAAATAAGTTTCTGAGTCCATGAGAAAAACATTTTCTTTATGACCTTATACACATGTAACCTTGGGTGGCCCAATATTTTCTGTTTGGTTCATATATCGTAAATGGCTGAACACTTTTTCAGCATAGTGTTCCTGGTACTTTTTGTTTTAGTCTTTCCCATTCCTATAACAGTCCATTTCCAAAATGGATAGTGGCACAGACTACCAATTTCCAGTATCTCCATTAATATTTTGATCTCACTGGTTATACTCAATAGGTAATGGCATGCTGGAAGATCCACTGTGCCTTATCATTATTCAATTCAGATGCCAACACTCCTGCTCTAATGTTCTAGGGATAGAATCTCTTAAATGTGCTGATTTTTCTGTCTTAATGGTTATATCCACTATGCTTAGATTCCACTGCTGTATCTTGCTA